CTGCGACTCAGCGCCGGCTGGCGTCAGGTGAAACGAGGGCAGAGCACCTGTTCGCCAGCGCACAGCGGACAGTGCGAGCTCTGCCCATTCTGTGCCAAATCACCAGGTGCAGTGCGGCCCCGGCCGGCAGCGGGTCGGTCTGGGCGCGCAGTGGGCACGCAGCCGGGAGCGCGTCCGTCCGAGGCCTCCGCCCGGGCAGCCGTGGCTTTCAGGCACCACGGCGTTCCTCCCACGGCGAGAGGTGTGTCCTGGGGACGGGGCAACGTAGGCGCTGTCATTTTAAAGCGCTCGCGTCGTGTTCAGAACTCCGACCCCGCGTCCCTGGGCGCAGGCCTCGCACACAGGAGGGAGCGGTCAAGAAGACAGACCGAGTGGTGGCCAGCTGCCAGCCTGGCTCTCGGTGAGGCCAGGCTCAGGGGAGGACCACGAGGCGGGGCCCTGGCCCGTGGGGACTTCATCGCTCTTTGGGAACCTTGTGGACGAATTGCTAATACAAGTAACAGCATTACTAGCAAACCGAGATGTTCTTTGTTTTTGCTTTTTAAGCCAGTTATTAATTTCAGGGGCTTAAAAGACATAGTGATGTTCGTCATTGTCCTGTCCGGCTCCCCGGCATCTTGTCTGTCCTCGGAATCACTTAAGCACCAAGAGGGTCTGTGACCGCAAGCCGGGGAGGACGACGCTGAGGGGTTCTAGAAGGAAATCAGGAAGGCGTACCAAGTGCCAAATCCTGTGTAATTTATAAGGAAGTCCACGAGAGTGTCTGAGATTACGGATTACCAAGAGATAGCTAAACAGAAACCCGCTTCCTTTGAGGGAGAAGATTTGACTCGCAGCAAGGTCAGGGGTCAATTCCTGCTCCTTAGGGCCCCCAAGATGGTCAGTCGTCACCGGGGCGGACAGGGTCAGCTTTCTGACATGGAGTAATTGGTGACCCTGAGGTCAGCAGCCCCACACGTCACCCAGGGAGCCACCTGGCTCCTAAGGAGCAAGACGAACCCGGAGTCTACTTGTCATTATCCCGTTAGGTCAGAAAGTTCTATGTTGTTAAAATAGAGTGGATTCCAACCCATAAAGACCCTATAGGGCAGAGAGAACTGCTCCTGAGAAAGCCTTTTCTTGCCCTCCGGGAGCGGCCGGTGGTTTTGAACGGCTGACCTTGTGGTGAGCAGCCCCACACACGTGGACCCAGGGCTTGTGGCAGCGAGTACAGGAAGCTGCAGGTTTGGCTCTCAGTCAACCTGGTGCTCACTGCGGTGGCGACCCTGAAGAAAGCGTGTCCTCAGGAGTGGGGACATTATACTGTTAGTGAGATTCCGGGAACATCCCTCCAGCCACAGCCATGACCTCAGACGCGCGAGGGAAAGGTGCTGTGCGTGAGCAGGCTGACTTGATGCACTGACACACCAAGAGCAGCTGGGTGATGGCCGGGCGCTTGGGCTCCTGGTTGAGGCTTAGCCCCTGCTTTCATGGGACACCCAGTAACTCGGCCTGCGCGTCTGCAACAAGAGCAAGAGGGTGTCGGGAGCAGAACAGGAGGAGGAGGGGGCGGAGCTGGACACATGCCTCCTTTGCCACACACAGGGCCACAAGACACCAGCTGCCTTGGCTGTTCTGATCCAAGATTCCATGGAAGCATCTTACTCAAAGGAGATGATGAATTCCAAATTCCCCTGGACGCCAGATGTTCTGGACCCTCGGAGACTAGGAACACCCAAAACGATTCTCGAGACAGATCCTTAAACCTTAAACCCTACCTAACTATAGCTTAAGCCCAGGGGCCTGTGGGCCAGCAAGCTCGTGACGCGGAAGAGCCAATCCTGTTCCTCGCGATGAGTAAAAAACGACCCGAGGACCCTCAGATGAAGCGCCACTCCCCTTTCCTTCGGAAGACGTCGCATGTGCCTCGGGAGCCCCGGCTGCCAGCCAAGGGCTTAGGCTGAGGAGTGAACGAAGGCAGGTTTGCCCAGAGCCTCTTCCTGCAAGACCCGTCCACACGGGGCTCGCTGGCGGTCAGCTTGGGTTCGGGGTGGCGTCAAGTGGGCGCGTCTGTATCAACGAGGGCAGAGGGAGGCGCCGCTGGAGCAGAGTCCGTGTACCGGCTTGAGCAGGCGGCTGCGCAGTCTCACCTGGGGAGGCTTTGTCCGTTCAGGACAGCGCGCACACGAGACCCCGCCCCACCCCCAGCCCTCGGGACTGTGCTGACGGGAATCTGAGGCCACGCCCCGGACACCCTCCATGGACACCCTCCATGCCCGCCCCGAGGGCTGGGCAGCGAATGTCAGGAGCAAGAACAGGGCAGCCCCAGGCCCCCACGGCCCGGGCACAGGGCCGTGTGTGGACAGACGCCTTTGCAGCTACCCTGTTTGCTTCCTTCCGATGCTCGCCTCTGAAGGCTCTCAACTGAGCTCCCACGACTGACTTTCTGAAGGCCGATCTTTCCCACTCCATCCCGCCCCCTCCGCATGGCTTGGTGTTGTAGGCAGCTGCCCCAGGTCAGCTCCGGCCACCCTCACAGCTGTTCCCATGCCCGGGGACCCACTGTCGCCTGGCCCCTCCCTCCTCCTCACCCAGTGTGAGGCCCTCCCATTAGAGGGCTGAGCCATACCCTGGGCCCCATCGAGCAGGAGGGTGGCTAAGGAGTTCTAGGGAGACGCTCCTGGAGAGAAACCTTTATTGGCACCCCAACAAATGTGGTGAAGGGCAGGCACCTGAGGCCCGGATGAGGATGGCGGGGTGTAGGAGGCGTGTGTCCTTGCGGCCACACAAAGGCGTACTGGCCTCTTGGTTCTGCTCCAGGTCTCACTGCTGGCCACCCTCCCGTGCCCCCCACAGTGCCCCCTGGCAGAGTGGCACAGCGCAGAGCGGGCAGCCACAGGTCTAGAAGCCACCGTTTCTCCCCGTCACGGAGTGGCTGTGACGCCCGTGGGCAGCCAGGAGTGGCTTCTCCCGCTGCCGCTGGAGGGTCCTGGTTCTAGCAGGGCAGGCTGGGCCCCTCAGCCCAAGGAGGGCGGGGGCTCTCCCCTGGTCCGCTGTCCCAGCAGGCCTGAGGCGCTGCCGACATGTGAGTCTTCAGGTATAATAAGGTCTGAGGGGGATGGAGGCCCAGGGCTCAGCCCTCTGCTCTCCCAGGCGCAGGTCCGCTAGCCCCCCTTAGACACCCGCCTTTCAAAACCACAGCCGCCCCACCCAGCCCACACGCACCTGCGGCTGAGGCGGAAGGGGCACACTCCTCACACTCCCACCTCTTGTCGTTGGACCTGAGAGCCGAGCAGTCCCTGTGGGTTCCCTGGGACCCGCAGGTAGCACACAGCACCAGGCACCACCTCCTGCAGGGGAGGAGAGCTGGGGTGGGGGCTCGGGGCTCCCACTTGCCCGTCGGCCCGCCCACCACCCACTGCACCACGTGCCGCAGCTGCACCCAGCAGGGCTGTAGCTGGGGGAGGTCCAGGGAGTGGCCACCGGCATGGACTAGCCAGGTGGCTTTGAGGAGGAAACGGCCCTGAGGGGCTCTCTGCAGGGCACAAGGGGAGAGAGCAGCCCACCTGCACATGAGGGGCCAGGGGCTGGTGGACCAGGGACCCGGCAGGGCCATTCACAGGGAGTCTGCGGGCAGAGGCACCTCGCTGGCTCTGAGAGGGCAGCCACGGGAGCCCCTCCTCCTACCCTTCATCCTCAAAGCAGTCTCTGCCTTGTTCACACAGACAGGTGGGGGCGTCACAATGCTGGTACCGCTGATACAGCTCGGCATACGCCCCCGGCTCCAGTTCCCAGGCAGCATCTCTGTGGGGGAGCAGAAAGGGCAGCCAGGGTCAGTGGCCAGCGCCTGGGCCACAGGAAGAGAACCCCAAGAGATGAGCGGCCGTGGAGAGGGTGAGTGGGAGCAGGGCTCCCGAGTTCCACCCAAGCGAGCCCCCCAGTCCAAGAACCCCCACCCTGTGGGTTCCGCCTTCAGCTGCCCTTCCCGTTCCTGGAAAGCATGCCTTTCCCAGGCGTCCTCCTTTGCTCACAGAGCCCTGCTGGTGCCACGTCGTCAACCCATCAGCCGGCCCGTGGGGAAAGATTTGGCTGCCTGCTCCGTAGAAGTAGTCACCGTGTGTGTGTGTGTGTGTGTGTGTGTGTGTGTCCTGTGGGGTCTCTGTGGGGCACATGCACGCGCACACACACTCGCCTGTCGGGAATGTGAATGCCCATTCTCAGCATTTCTCGGGGGAACTCCTGCCGGTTGTTGCACTGTGGGCATTTGAAGAAGTGCTTCGCAGATGTGTGGGCGTATTTCTGTGTGGGGAACGAGGGAATGCCGGGCCTCAGCCATACCTCCCGCTTCCCAAGCCCACCAGGAGCCTGGGGGAGCACTGTGGGGGGGCACTCAGCTGGAGGCTACCTAGGGGCAAGGACCAGGGGTGGGCTAGGCCCAAAGGTGCCAGACTTGGGACCAAATGTCTTTGAAAGACTTCCCAGGTGAGCCTGAGAGATCAGTTGGCCAGGGGCCAGGCACCGGGACCTGTGTCTGTTCTCACCCATGCCAGGAGAAGGCTCCCTTTGAGGCCCTCAACTCAGTCTAGAGTGGGTCAAGTGCTCCTCGGGAGGGAGGGGAGGCATCTGCTCCCATGCAGACCCCGCCCGGGGCACTTCTACTCGGGGCTGGGGGTCAGCTTGTCGGCAAGCAGGCGTGGTGCTGGTGCTCTGGGCGGCCCACCTGGATGCACTTGCGGTGGTAGACGGCTCGGCTGCAGCACGGGCTCTGAATGTTCTCCACGCTGGCCGGGGACAGCTCTTCACAGCACAAGATGCAGCATTCCTCCCCCACGGATCCACGCTGGATGTCCTGTGTTGGGCGATGTTTCCCACAAAACGATCTGTGACACAGGGGACAGACGGGCTCACACCGTCCTCGGGGAGCTGCCCTGGTGTGGAGGGTGGTCTTAGTCTAGGCAGGGAGGGCCCCTGGTCGCCTTGCAATCACATGAGGGGTGAGTGGCCCACGGTTAACAGTCCCCATGAAGGACTGACCGCCTCTACCCAACTGGGCAGCCAGGAGTCAGTGCCGGCTCCTGGGAAAGGCCATCACTCACTCAGGCCAGAGACCAGGGGAGCTCCCTGGGTCCGGGCCTGGGCCCAGCCAGGCACTGAGGGTTTGGGATGGCCACCTGCCTTCTCATGGCCGCACTCCCATGGAGCAAAGCCCCCGGGGAGGGTCTCACGGCCCTCGAGGGTGAGCAGCTGTCGGAACCCCAGCCGTTTGTAATTGAAGGAGGGACGGGAACCGTGGCGCAGCCCCTGTGAGGTGGCCAGATGGAGCCTGCTTCTCATGACTGGGCAAGGCGGGCCCAG